ACAATTCGAACAAAACAACTAAAACACTATTTTTGGTTCACCCTATGCGTCGGGCCGAAAACAAAACTAAAATAAACTTGGAACGCTGTGTACACGTCGAGTAACGGATGTAGACTGACCCAAGTCTACAAGACAGGCGGGGAGCGGGACGAATTTTGATACGGGCAAAGAGTGGGTCAACTGATGTATTTTATATTCTTTAAACTGTGATAATATACAGAACTACTATGAATGTTATTCTTTTCACTGATAAGACAATGATCGCAAAATTTATTTTTAGTGAAAATATTTGCTAACAAAAAACGCTGTTTATGAAAAATAATATACAGGATGGTTGAACATTGCTATAAGTATAAAATTACATATTCAGGTATTAGTAAATTTTAACTTTTTTTTCGATTTTTGTCCATGGGACGAAGCACTGTGCGGCGCCGGCAGCGAAGTCACTTCCTAATTCTAATGCTATACACATAAGTATATAATATACTTCTATTATACATTTTGTAAAGATTGAATAACGTATATGTATAATGGTTGACAAAATTCAAGTATTACCGGGTGCTTCTCAAAAGTGGCTCACCTCTATAACTTTTTTACTTTTTCAGATAAAAAAACGAGATTTGGTATATTAATATATGACATAAATTAAGATTGATTGACATATTAAATTGTTTTTGATCATTTCCTGCTTCACCGAGAATGACTCCAACTTTTGTTTTTTAAATAGCACAATAGGTATTTTTTACTTTATTTGATAGAAAATGACACTCTGAATAGATCGACTTTTGGTATTTTCTCATATGGTTTATTGTAACATGCGGTTCATAACGATAATTTGACTCGAAATACCAAGTGTGTGTTACCAAACTATTCGTAAAAAATGCTTTTTCCAAATATGCCCATGCGCCACCATCGTTCCACTTGAAAAAATTGAGATATTAATAAAAATACGATTTGGGCATCTTTTAACCGGTCGGGACAAGACACGAAAAACTTTAGTCGATCAAATATATTTTTACAAGGCTCATTGAATAAAAATTAGTGTTTTTAACACAAACATGGTACTCTATATTGAAATAATTTAACATTCGATTTTTTTTTAAAGCGAAAATATCAAAAGTTGATATAGGATATGTCATTCAATTCAGAGTGGTATTTTCTATAGAATAAAGTAAAAAATACCGAGAATGTAATTTTTTTACTTGTTTAAAAGTGTGCCAAATGTTAATTCCAACGTTGGACGCATACAGTTGGACCGGCTTTAGGAATAACCCCGTTTTTTATGACTTGCACCTGCTAACGCGAACGACTGGATTGAGCCAGCTTTTCTAAACAAAAGTCCGCCTCGTTCAAGCTTGTACAACTTTTAATTAAATCGAGTTTCTAACCGAACTGACAAGAAACAAAATTACATCCATGATTGCTCTTAATATGTAATGTTATTAGTCATCTTGGAAAAGTTTTTAATAGACCTTTATATACGTTAAGAAAATATTAAATCTAGTTTAATCCTGAAGCCCCGTACACACTATCCGTTCATGCGGTTCGTCAGTGTGTCTCGTAATCCCATAGTCACTATATGTTGATGCGTCAATGCGATGAGATGTGTGGTGGTTCGGCATGAAGACGGTTTTTGGAGGAACCATCAAAGGAAATATCACGAACACAATGGACGAATTTCTAAACGAACTAACGAATCACACCAACGCAACGAACCACATTAACGCATAAAAACATACTCACTATTCGCTTATTCGGTTTGTTATGCGGCGATTCGGCGGAATGGCGGTTTTTAGGCGAACCATGAAAAGAAATATCATGAACGTTTCCGTACACACAAACCTATGTCCAAAATATTTGGAATTTTATTAGCATCGATTTTCATTCCCGAGTCGTCTTTGACGCCGTTTTTTTTTTCGATCGTATGGTATTTAAAGGTGCATCCACATTGCTCGTGATCCTGCTCGCGATAGCAAAAATACAAAACAACTACTAGAGCACAAAAAGAACCTAGTAAGCATAATTGTAGGTGTCGCCACTGGAAACTGCCCCACGGGGGTAAACCTCGTGAGACAGAAAATTTCCAACGACGACTACTGCAAAGAATGCGGAGAGGAAGAAGAAACCATAGAGCACCTGCTGTGCCACTGTCCGGCACTGGAATACCGACGCTTTAAAACTTTAAGGCAAGGTTTTTTGGAGGGACTAGAGGAAGCAGCAGAAGCCAACATCAGCGACATCGGGAGCTTTGCAAAGAGCTGGAAGTGCTTTAACGCAAAGAAATAATGAGAGGAAGGTTTGGTACAACAAAACAGGGGTATCACAATGGGCCCAAGGCCTCCGAGTGAGGGATCAAACATGATTCCAAACCCCAGCAACCTAACCTAAGCCAACACTTATTAAAATCAAGAATAATATCATTATTATCCAGGAAAGTGGGGACGAGTAGAACATATTTGTTTTTAAAAGGGCACAAGTCCGGAACATATGCCAATTTAAAAATAAACAATAATTTCCATCGACTATAGAATCGTATTGAGTAAAGAGGGAGTTATGACATTTCAAAAATAAATGTGTTTTGCTCTAAAGTATTGTACGCAAGGAAAATGTAATTTTTAATCAAATGTGAACATATGCCCTTTTAATCATAAACGATTCAATTGAGTATTATTTTAATGTTTTAAATTCGCTAATTTCGTAAAATTATTGATATGCTTTTCTGTCGATCAATTAAAAAAGATTTAATTCTTAATTTTATTGTTTAATTTGACCTGGAAAGTAATTATAAAATTATTATTTAAATCAAAAAGAAAAACTTGTTATTAAACTGATATTATGGACATATGTGTAAATATGAATAAGATTAATTGACTGTGAATGCTGATTCTGAATAATGTATTTTTTTTTCATCAAGATTAATATGTTTATTCCAGTTGGTTACTGTTTTATCTTTATTTTTTAATTACTACGTAAATTTCATTGTAATTGCCCCTAAGAACAATATATTCCAATGAATAAAATGGAAATCCGATTGATAAACGTATTAGGCATGCCATTGGTTAGTTCTGATATCAAATATTATTTTTCAGACGGATTCGACGAATGGGACTTCAAAGGAGGCTGAAGATGAAGTATGTCAGTTATCATCACAGTGCGGGTGGGCTGTTTACAAACCTTTTACAAGAGATATCGACTATTTCATGAAAAATAAGTAGGTATTATTATATTAGACTTTGAATACTCTTTCAATTGTACAGAGTGTCACACTTTTCTGGCAATTGAGGTTCTTATCGTTAAGAATAGATGGAAAAATAGAACAGTCGCAGTTTTCACGAACCTGTCATTACCTTTTGAAAAATGACGCTCGCATATTTTATGATACCAAACCAAATCAACTTTAATTCACAAACTCAGTTTTTTATCAACTTTTGTATTTGGCTTATTATACAGGGTTAATTGAAGCGTTGTTTTATTTTTTTATTTTATTAATTTTTCCTAAAAGATTACTTTTCGATCAGAACCATGCCTCCTTAACATTTTGTTTTCTGATTCATGCCAACACATGCCTTAGTTAATTTTTAAAAGCGAAATGAAAAAACACTTTTTAAGCACAATCCAGTTGCGTAGTCAATTTATTTCTGTGCTTGATCTTTTTGTCAGAAATAATAAAAAATATAATTTTTAAATGGAAATCGTACTTGGCTATGAACTTAAAAAAATGCTGGCGCTTAACCCTTTCCAAAAGTATAAAGTTATGGGTATCTATATTTGTAATAATGAGAGAAATATTAGGTTTTTTATCTTTATATCGAAGCGGGCCTTGATTTTGTGTTGACCTATTTGCCTAATTATTTTTTATCACAGTTTAATATTCTATATTATTATTTATCTGCATAATTAAAGACTTTTGAAAAGGTAAATTAACATTCTTTTATTATTAGTATCAGTAATTACAACTGAAATCGATACGATAAACAAAGAACAAAACTAAAAAACGTATTTTTTGAGTGACGAATATAGTTTTTTTTCTAAAAAAATCAAAGATGTTCAAACTGAGCGCCTCCTTGTTGAATACACAATAAACATCTTTTGCGCAACGATTATTAGGCGAACTGGTGTAATAAGTCCAAAAGCTTGTCTAGCAGGCTTCTGCAATTCTTCTCTCGTCCTAATGGTTCTTCCCTTATATAATATAAGGTCTTTTAATTTCCCCCATAAAATAGTCGACAGGAGTTAAATCACAGGACCTAGCAATTTTAAATTCTTCATTTAATAGTTCAGTTGTAACCCTGGCGTTTTAACTTGGCCTTTTCAAAAGTCTTTAATTATGCAGATAAATAATAATACAGAATATTAAATTGTGATAAAAAATAATTAGGCAACTATGTCAACATGAAATCAAGGCCCGCTTCGATATGAAGATAAAAAACCTAATATTTCTCTCATTCTTAGAAATAAATACACATAACCTTATATCGTTGGAAAGGGTTAAACGCCAGCATTTTTTTAACTTCATAGCCAACTATGACTTCCATTTAAAAAATTATATTTTTTTTATTATTTCTGACAAAAAGAGCAAGTATTGAAAAAAACTGACTACGCCACTGGATTGTGCTTAAAAAAGTTCCTTAAGAACGTTTTTACATAATTTTATTATTCCGCGAAATACAAAAGTTATGGGCAATTTTCCAAATGGTGAAAAATTCAAAGAGACCCAGTATCTCAGTTGGCAGTGAAAATGTCAACACGCAGTTTACACTATTAAACGTGTCTCAGAAATCGAGCCCATGACATCTATGTCGGTTTTGCTGTATCTAGTCACTAGTCACTAGTCAGGAAATATGTTGTTTTCTGTTAAAACAGACCAACCACCCTGTACAAACAAACAAAATACTCAAATATTTTGTATTACCTCCCCCGGCTGCTATAACTGTCTGTAGACGTGGGTTCATTCTGTTAATGAAGCTGCAAATATATTGCGTTATGTTTTCCTATTCTTCTTCAAGGACCAAGCGTATATTCATAATTTTGGCAATCTTCAACAAGATCATGACTTTTGCACAATCTGCGACACTAAGAACCATATTCAATCGTACACAACAATAATCACCAAAGCCACCTGGTCATTATGAAGAATAACATCAAAAAGTAACGATAATTGAAGAAATTGGAAATTGCAAAACGTTTGTGGCAAGTTCATTTTGCTCTTAAAATTTAATCAAGGCACATATCGACATGAGTCAAAAAACAAAATATTCCGAAAACATGGTTCTGACCGAAACATAATGTTTTAAAAAAATTGTTCACAAATTAAAAAATTAGCCCCCCCATATAACCTGTGCGTACCGTATAAAATTGGTTTTAACCTCACATCAATATTATCTTATAGTGACCTAAGCCCCCCCAAAAGACTTGAGCCCCCCTAAAAGTATATGTCTAGTTGCACCCCTGGGCATAATGATGTTTACATAAGTTTTGTCCGATATTGGGTACCTTAGGGTCTTAAGACGTTCGGAGACACCTATGGGTTCTTCTGTTAAGCTGGTGATTTCTATTAAACTAAGCAATTATCAGTCTGGTAATATATAGTCTGTCCAACGAGTTAGGAAAGATTTCGACATACGACATTCAAAAATGACAGAAAATAGAATTTATTTGTGATTTTAAATGATAGATACAAGTGCCACTATCATAAATTCTTTCGTTGGATAGACTATATATTTTGTATGATCAGAAAAATGGCATCTAGTTGTCTTGGAATTGACGATAGATGGCATTCGCCATTCTCTTCGATCGTATGGTACATAATGTAATAAAATTGTTCTGTTATTTGTTTCAGATGCCGTTGTCCAGAAGAATCCAAATGTCTTAGAGCTGAGGATGATATATCCTTGAACGCTTTTGTTTACAGATGCAAAAAACCAGGAGAGTAAAATTCATATAAAATACTAAATTATTCATCAGATGGCAATTTAATATTAAATGTTTGACTTGTTTAGTTGTAATATCATGCTGACATCTATTTCCATTTTATAAGGTTCATATTTATTAGGTTCATATTAAGTTAGTGTTAGTGCAATTATGTGTAACAAATTATATCTCAGGATAATGTCCAAAATTCAATATTTTCAGATGAATAGTACTCCTATAGATAAACGTTCATTTGAAAAGGTATCATTTTATTTCAGAATAAGATAAAAGTAGTATTTTAACAGTTTCCTGTCTTAATAATTTAATTTTTTTTCAGATGGCTATTATTTAGTACGTTCAAACTTTTATATCTTAGTTTTATGTCAGTATTTGTTATTTATTTGTTTCGTATTTATATAGAACTTAATCACATACTCTAAACAAACATATTCATTAATTAAAATTTGACCTGTACTCTTGTACTTAAAGATTAATAAAACAATTATTATAATATTGTTTTCTTTCAATTCGTTTCCTTTCCTTATTCAATGTCTTACGGACCGGAAATATCTTAGTGACAGACCTAAATAAACAAATACACTTAAATACATCTTAATATGAGGCGTCAAGTTGCAAAACCTGCCTTATCCCACAAACGTTGTTTCGAGATAATAAGCAAAAACTGTTTTAGCAAACGTTTGAAACGTTAATTTACAAAAAACGTGTCCATTTAGTGGAATCATTGTTTTGTATCTCGTTTTACTAGAAATAAAAAAAATAATATTTAATTTTTAAATAGAAAAAAACATAAAAATAATTCGGATAAGGCGGGTCTTGTAACGGTATGATACATATTGGCTATGAAATGAAGAACGCAGTCATTTTATATCTAAATTTATATGAGAAATGTCATCGATCGTCATTTCCTAGCCAACTGGACGCCGTTTTTATTTTGGATCATACGGTATTTGCATCCTAACTTGATTTATTAATTATATTATTTTATTAAAATTAAGTAAGGATTTGAAAAGACGTCAGTAGTAATATTATACTTGTGTAAAAAGCTTATTAAAAAAATGCGGTGTTTGTAGCAATAATGACAATAAAAAGCAAATATACCTAAGTGGATAAGAAGGATTTTTCTGCAGTAACGTTATTTGTAGTGAATTTTATATAGGAATAGCCAATTATTACTGCAGTTTGGGATTATATTTATGTAGATTTCAGGGTCCCACTATTAATATATGTCGTTGGGCCATTTTTTTTAAATGAATACGGCGGGTTTTGCAACTTGACGCCTCATATATAGTCTATTTCTAGAAAACCAATTGAAGCTGTGATTAAATGAAGAATAATCATTGAAAGTGCTGATAAATAAAAAGTAGATGGATTCACATTTTAGAAACAGAAATTACTCTAGTCCATTAAATTGGCTTAACCAGCTTTGAGCACAGATAAAGGTATATTCGTGGAATTATATTATACCGATCTGGTCATCGAAATTGCGTGGTTTGGATTTTAACGCGTAAGACAGTGATGGTTGGTTGGTTGTTTACACAGCTTTCCGTCCCAAAGCTCTTTTGTATGGCTCTGCTTCCTTGACGTTGCAATTTGCCAGCGCAATTACGTGGGAAAACCACTGTCTAGCTCTAGGCTATCTGGAAATCCCGTATGTTTCTTGATGATATATTTTTCCTGTGGAACTTACATTACTTTTCACTTAAACGTGACATGTGTGAGGTGTTAGTAAAGACATCACAGACAAAGGTAAGTATGATGTCTTATGATAAGTAAGACAGTGATCTGCAGTGATGTAAACAGCTTAATCTATACTAATATATAAAATCCTTAAGTGACTGACATACTGATTAATCACGATCCTGCTCAAACCACTCAACGTAAGAAGCTCAATTTTGGCATACATGTTGATTCTAGGGTGTAGAGGCTCGATAAGAAGGGATTTTTCGAAATTCCAGTTCCAAGAGGGTGAAACCTCAAATATTACAATATTTTTTGTTTAAAAAACGGTCAAGTTTCCGAAAAAACGCTTAAACACGTATATTTTATTTTGTTTCTTTACATATTTTAAGATTTTTTAAAAACATATACAGGGTGTTTTGAAAAATCTGGTCATTGATTAATCACGATCCTGCTTAAAGCGCTTGACGTAAAAAGCTGATTTTTGGAAAACAGATTGACTTTAGGGTGTAGAGGTTCGATAAGAAGGGATTTTTCGAAACTCGAATTCTAAGGGGGTGAACTATCCCTTAAATATTAAAATATTTTTATTTAAAAACCGGGGAGTTTTCGGAAAAAATCTTAAACACGTGTATTTTATTTTGTTGTTTTACATATTTTAAGATTTTTTATAAATTTATACATAAAATATGACCAGTGAGTAATCACGATTCTGCTTAAACTGATTGACGTTTAAAGCTGATTTTTGGCAAACGGATTGACTCTGGGGTGTAGAGGTTCGATAAGGAGGGGTTTCTCGAATCTCAAATTCCAAGAGGGTAAAAATGCCCCTCAAATATTTCAATATTTGTTATTTAAAAAACGGTTAGTCTTTCGGGAAAACGATTGGACAAGCATAATTTATTTGGTTTTTTTACATATTTTGAAATTTTTTAAAAAATCATACAGGGTGTACCAAAAAGTTATGTAATTTCTTAACCACGATTCTGTTTAAACTGCTTGACGTAAAAAGCTTATTTTTGGCAAACGGATTTTTCGAAAGTCAAATTCCAACGATATGAAACTACCCCTCAAATATTACCAAGTTATATAATAATATCGCCATATTGTTTTTTTCTCATACTGACATAAATGTGAGAAAATTTTATCCAGTTTGTATGTTAATGGAAATTCTTGCTTTGCTTTATCATCACCATTACAAATGATTAATTCGACGCGAACAAAGTCGCTGGTACACACTAGTGTAAAATAAAATATACATTGATACATTTCTTCTATGCCCAAGTAGGCGTTTACGAAAAATGTTGCATCTAGGGTTGGAACTTAATTTTTCACAATTAGTTACTTATTTTACTACAGCTCTGTAATAGATTATATTTAGGTTAGATATATTATCCGCATTTCAGTAGTATACACAAGTTTTTAAAATAGTTTTTTTTTCTACATACGTAAAAACCGGTAACACTGCCGCTTTTTATTTTCTCTCTCTGTCTGTCAATCGGTCATTTATATTTATCTCAATCGAATGCACTAAAATACAGACCACTATGACCAGATCGGTATACCATGTGGTGCATCGGAACGCGGTACATAGGAAATCCCATATAAATTTTGAAAAGGTCAAATATTATCTCACCAGATGATTTTATGCAAAAATTGTATTAGACTTTTTTTTCGTTAAAGTTATACTGTCGTCTAGAATTTTGTTTTATTTAGAATAGGCACCAAAAAAGTTAAAATTAATATGTTTTTTTTTGGTCAAACAGTTGAAGACATCGGTGCAATAACAAGGTAAGTCCTGTTTTCTAAAATGTTGGGAAATTAAACAAAACCCATTGGTTAATTTGGAAATAAAAAGGAAAAAAAAATTGGGGGGTTTAATAAAAATAAAGAAAAGTAACATAACAAAGTTTTTGCCTGGAAAATAAATGCACAACAACTTCAAAAAAAAATTTAGAAAATTTGGACTTACCTGGTTGTTGCTCCGAAAATATATTAAAAAAACTAAAAAACGTTTAAACAGTTTTATTATGCAAAAAGTTATAGAAGTTAAATATAAACTAAATCAGAAATTGACAGGTGATATTACATAAATGAAGAATCCGAGTCATCAACATCTTCCACTGTATTGTTAACTTCTTGCAAACCTTCATTTTCGGGTTCTCTAAAGATCATTCGATAATACCATAGATCGGCAGCTGGTACGTATTTGAATGATAGAAGTTTAACATCAGTAGCTTTTTTGTCTTTAAGAGGTATAGGATAGGGTTGTATCATCGGTGCACTTGGGAGGGACAATGCCACATTGTTCGCGTTCAGGGAACACAGCGGCTGACCGACCGCTGAGTATTTTGCTCAGCGGCTGACTGTTTTTGCGTGTAAAAAGAGACCGTTTAGGGAAACCGCTTACTCAGCCACTCAGCCGCTGACCTTTCCTGAACGCGCCCATTTTCTTTTTGAATGTAAAACCTGGTGAAAAGTGGAACTGCTGTTGAACTGCTGCATTCTACATAATTATTTTTTCTTTGATACTGAAACATTCGGTACGTCGAAATACTAAACTTATTTTTTTTTCTTTGCTGGTAAAAGTAGTTTTAAAAAAAGGTTTAAAATGTGTTGCAAAATCCATTATCATATCCTGATTGACGGTTATTACTTTAAACTTTCTTGACGTTGAACGTACCAGATCTTTCCACTCATCAGGTATGTACCCTTTTTTGCGTCTTTTAGCCTTTTCGATTAAAGCAAATGATCGGTCGCATGGCAGGAAGCTATGCCCTGGCTCTGGATACTGATGGACGATATTCAAAATACCCTTCTGGTTGATGTTCGTAAGAGTATACAAGTATTTTACTAATGTTTTATTTTGGGCGAAGGCATTGTCGGAAAATAGATACAATGTTCGTACAGTATCAGGCAGGTAAGTATTTATATAATGATTCAAAAAGCTAATTACTTCATTACTCCCCTTTTTCGACGTGACTTCGTCATACATATAAAAAACAGAAGTTCCACTTTTTGCAGAGTGTACGCAAAAGTTATACACCCAGAGTTGTCGCTTATAAAAGACGTCGCCAGCGGGGACATGGGGTAATGGTAAATTTTGCTCATAGTCAAAACATAGCACTTCGACAGAGGGATCATTCAAAGCTATTCCCGACTTTTCTTTTAATGAAGTATAAAACACTTCAGATTTACGTATGTGTAGCTCTTTCTCAGCTTGCAAGGATGCTTTATTTTCGACGATCTGCTCCGCATTAATCATGTTTTGTAGACGATCACATTTCTGACATGTATCAGATCTTGGTGAGCCAAAACTTATATTAAAGTTGTGCAAAAAATAACGATGATAATAATCATAAGTTACTTGTGGTTTGCTTTCTTTGCTGTCTTGCATTTCTGCAAAAACTGTGGGCTCATATTTTTCTAAAAATAATTTGTGCATTTTAGTAACATTTAACTCTGCCGGCAAATAGTATCGTCCATCGTTTTTCTCCCTACTATAATGGGAAGATCGTCGGGGGAAACTTCTTATATGATCATCTATAGTTTTAACAATATTTTCCAGGATCTTATTCGGCCCGTTTAGGTGTCTACCTCGCATGTCCGGTTGGAACACAATATTGGATTTGGATAAAAAATAAGAGATTTGGCAATGTTTTCTACTCTAAATTTTGTTATGCCATGGATAGCCCACATTGCATTCTTGCAAACTGGATATTCTTGTCCATTAACCCGAACCTGATAAGATAATATAGAAACATAACAGAGGCTTAAGGTGTATGTATATATGACTTACCTTATATTTGAAAGAAGTTTCTTTTTCTTTTCCCGTTTCAGCCCTGCTCCGTCTTCTGGCAACTGTTCGAGGAATAATCAATCCAGCCAAGTAAATATCTTGCTTCTGCTTATCGCCAATTCTATTAAATTCTTCGAAAATCTTCCGAATCTTATCGTCACCAATCAGCTCAAAATATTTTAATTGACATTTACATTTTGCTCCAATAGTTCTCGCTGGTACAACGGTTCCTTTGGCAGACCTTTAATGATAAAAGATAAAATACTTCAGTACGTTATATATTATGCTTCCATAAAGATGTGATCGGCCAGTCACTTTGTTGGATCACACGTGGTTTTACACGTTCTGTCTTTCTTGGACGCAACATATTATATAGCATACCATTATATGCACACAAATAAAAATGAAACTTCAAACTTACATGTGCATTTCTCCTTTTGCTTTTTTACTTTTTCTTTGCCATTTCTCTGGACAACGAGTGCGTTTTTTCCCTTTTTTAGCAGGAATATCTTCACTTTTCTTCTTTACTAGCGTTTTGCTCTTTGATTTGGAGTTCAATAAAACACCCTTATTATCCGGACGACATCTTCGCGCCTAAAATCACGTGTTACGTCGCACCGACAACCCACCAACTCAAACGACTGTCCAGTTTAACTAAACTTTTCACGTTCAGCGCGACGCGACGTTCGACCAGGCAAGTCCCCCACCACCGTATAGCGAGTACGGTGCAAAAACCAGGTATCTCCTGGACTTTTTGAATTCTTTTGAATTCTTCTCCTGAATTTTGCTACCAATACTTGATCAGGTATGTGAAAATAAATATATTTGTACATTATAAGCGTTGGACATACCTGATTTTAACACCCAACGATCCGCAATGATCTGAAGTCCCAGAATATGCCTAAACATATATTTTGGTAAAAAATGGTCTTACCTGGTTTTTGCACCAAAGGCTTCAATTTTTAATTCGAAATTCAATTTTTTTCATTACTAAAATATGTTGCCGATTAAGCGGGAATGAACAAGTTCTCATCGCAAAGTTTATTACTTATTTTACGGGTAAAAAAACAGACACTGGTAAAACACTTGCTCGTCGATGCCGTATATGAACTATGTAATAACAATGCAAACGTGTGTAATCTTATGTAAACACAAATTAACTAAGTTTTTAAATAATATGCCGTGTTGCTGATGCTTTGAAGATAGGCATTTCTTGTAATACAATTTAAGAGGAAAGGGTATATTTAATTATTTTAGGCATCTTGAACAGTATCAAAATGTATTTTATTGTATACAGGGTGTTTCAAAAAACGTGCCATCTCCCGTGGGATTCGAATGAAATTTTAAGAGTAAAAGTTACTATAAATACTACATATTTTAATACTAAAAGTGTCGATAAATTCATCAGGGACGTGCATATGCGTTATCACTGGAATATTTTTTAAAAAAGAAACATGTGCGCCACTGACTTTTTTCTTTTGATATCAAAATTGTGTAGGCCGTTTAATGCCAATTAAAAGTTATCTCTTGATATTAAGTCAAATGCGGCCGCCTTGATGAGATAAACGCAATTTTATTAAACACAATTAATAAAATTAAAATAAAAATAAAATTAATAAATCATATATTTTCCTTAATTTATTATTACTATTAGTTATTATTACTATTACTCTAACTTACAGCAATTTGAAACAAGAAAATAATGGCATTTAGGGTAATTATTACAAAAAACCTAATTTCAAAAAGTTTTAACATCCTGTAACTCTAAAATTATGCATTTCCATATCCATGTTAATAGGAACTTTGTTTCATAATTTTTGATGAGGAATCAATGAGTACTTATTTAAAACTTATTAGCAAGTTAAAAATATTAAAATTTTTCAAATGATGCTATTAGACTTGTATCAAGGCAAATTAATAAAATTGCGTTTATCTCACCAAGGAGGCCGAAATCGACAAAATATCAAGAGACAACTTTTAATCGTCATTAAACTCTTTACACTATTTCGCTAACAAGAGAAAAAAGTCAGTGGCGTACATGCTTTTTTTAGAAATATATTCCAGTGATAACCCATACGCACGTCCCTGGTAAATTTATCGACACTTTTTCAGCTTTAAAATATGTCACATTTATAGTAACTTTAACCCTTAAAATTTCATTCAAAACGCTATAAGTACTTGGAAGAAAATTATATTATATCGAAAAAATATAAACACTTTAACACCCTGTAGCTACGAAACAAAGCAGAATCGGACCTATGTTGATATGAAAAATAAATATGTATAATTGTTTCATAAGTTTATTTTTAAAATAGGTACGACCTGGAAAAAACAGGTACATATATGGTCCTAAAATAATATATTTAAAATAAAATGAAGAAAGACCTAACATACCCCCCTACATGAATTTAATAAAAACGGAACTTCAACGTCAATTAATAATTTCAGAACGTACTTAAAATTTTGTAAACAATATGAACTAAGTTCAACACACATCTTAAAATGCATATTGAAACGTTAAACAATAGCTGAACAGACTATATTTCTACTCCAATTAAATAAAATTCATAAGAATGTTTCTATGATAACAAATTTTATTATTTACCTTGACCAATAAGGTTTATACAAGCTTTGAGAATTAATAAAATAATCTTGTGTTAAGAACAATCCTAAAATATACCGTAATAACGTTAAAGAATTCCCAAATTAAATGAGCAACAATGATGTCCAATGAGCAGCAAAAAAATAGTATTACAAACAAGGGGTATTATTGATAATATTATATAACAAATTTTATTGTTTACCTTGACCAATAAGGTTCATACAAGCTTTGAGAATTAATAAAATAATCTTGTGTTAAGTACAATCCTAAAATATACCGTAATAACGTTAAAGAATTCCCAAATTAAGTAAGCAACAATGATGTGCAATGAGCAACAAAAAATAGTATTACAAACATGGGGTATTATTGATATTAAAGGTATGTTGCGGAATATTAAATAAAAAAAAGAAAATGTAGAAAACCTCTATTTAATAACGGCACTTACATAAATTAATAAATAATTGTCATATAGTATATTGGTAGTTTAAATGTAAATTTACGTAAATCAAATGCAGAGACTAAAAAATAGAGTTTAATGCAATATCAAAAAGTTAAGATATAGCTCTATACATCTTAATGACATATACAAAACAAATGCTTGTCAGTCCAATATTTAAATATATTTAGACTATATTCTGTTACAAAACCAGGTACCAGGTTGGTAAACTACGATAAGGATCGGTTTCTCAATAATAGACAACAACGGCATACGGTCGAATCGGCCTACAAACACGTAAACGTTTACGTACACATGCGCATTTCTTATATTTTCTATTTTTTATAGACGTAAAAGATTCTTTACGTCTACGTATACGTGCCAGGAGCGGCCGACTCGACCGTATGCCGTTGTTCGGTAATAACGGTAAAATACATATGTAAAATACGGACAGTTTGATAAAATAGTAGAAACGTGAAATATTGACGTTTTATAAATTACATTCTTCTTATTATAGCATTTTTATTTCATGCTTGATTCACCTTTTTAATGTAGTTTGTTGTTGAAAAACAATTTTTAAATGAGCTGTTAAACTCATCAGACAGTTGAGAGATTGATTGATGACAATAATGGTTGACAAAAGAACCAAAAAGAACAGTCTGCGTTGGTTAGTTTGATGACAATAATGACCAGAAATTCTTCAAGAACCGTGCCCCGTATTAACATAGAAATGGAACAGAAAATCGTATCCAAGGTAAGAAACGGGATACAGGATACATACTTAATTTTATTGTTGGGTTTTCCATCGACGTGACGATGTGAAATATTGGAATGAGGAAAACGTGGTTATATTTAGTAAGAAACATTTTAAATAAACTGTAAATCTACCGTTACATATTATAGCGCCTAAATTAATATCGTTGTAAACAGTTTTATAATTCGTTATGGGAATATTGCTACAATTATTTAATGACTACATTCCTCAAATTATTCATATTCATTAATTGCAAATTTAATTAACTATTGATAAAATAATAAAATTCAATCCTTTAAAGAGTATTTTGATTTACACAAACATATACCTACGTTATAACTTTTATAATTATCATCTTTTACTGCACTCTTAGTAAGATCAGTCAAATAACATCAAAATAATATTTTTGATTGTAATTGTGTAAAGTAGGATGTGATGTAAAAATAGTGATATAATGGAAAAACAAAAATAATTTGTGTCAATTTTGCGTAACAAACTAATATATATTTTAATGTGTTCATGATTAGCTTGATGTTTAGTGTATTGTGTTGAATTCCTACAAATAATATAGTCTCTCCAGCAAATAAATAGGATAATAGTTGTGTGTCATTAGTTCAAAAATATACTTTTTCTGAATTTTTTTGGATGTCATCTGTCTGATATATTGTATCACTAAACAGGCTATAATATAGTAAAATATGTCCAGCGAGAGAAGAGAGGATTTCAACAAAAAACATCCAAAAATTGAGAGAAAATAAATTGCTTTGAATGAAAATGACAGACACTATAAATAATATCTATATCTTTGTGGCGGATTCATTTTTTTTGTGTATCAGATAGTAATTGTTGCGGCGTCGGACAATCGTACTAACGGATAACGGACGCATGGAAATCCAGCTTAAACGCGTTGTTTCAATAAGTTGAATAAATCTGCATCAGTAAAACGGGAATTATATGTTTTATTAAGTTTTAAATTATTGAAAATTAATAATCAAACGTTTTTAAGAAATGGAACCCGCTACAAAGGAAACAGATTTAAATATTTCAGAAATTCAGAACTTTGGATATGTATTGAAAATGAACTGAAGATTTTTTACTTTCTCTTTTCTAAATATACAGAATAATACACATTCTCTTATTCCATTCAACAGTAGAACAAAATTTTCACATAACAAAAAAACAGTTAATTATTTTTCACAATTAATGAACATGTTAATACATGAAATTATATGTAAAGTCTGTTCAACGAGAGAAAAGACGATTTCGACAGATGACATCTAAAAAAATGACCAGAAAATGCCATCTAATTGTGAATTAAAATATCAGAAAACTGTTACTGTTAATATATTCCCTCGTTGGACCGACTAATCAAACACTTAGAGCCTTAATAGCAGTTTTTCTAATGAAAGCCCAAAGTATTATTAAATATAAATATTTTACGTGTATAATACATATATTGATAGAAAAATATATTAAAGTAAATATTTGAATTGAGCTAATAATAAATAACAAAAATTTAATAAAAAGGGGAATAACACCTGGAGTATAAATATAATTAATTATTTCGAGTATGCCGCATCTAATAAAATATACCAGTCTAATCTAATGCAATTTTAAATACTAAGCAAAAAATACATTAAAAACTAATACTCTTTAGGGTTTTAGAAAATTATTAATCTTATAATTAAACTATTAATTTCTTTTATAGGTAAGTAAAAAGAATAGTTTTCAGTTTCCCCTTTCTTTAATACATACAGAGTATTTCAAACAACATGTGCCATCTCTAGTGGGGAGATTCCTCACATAAAAATAGGATTTATTTTTCATATCAACACAGCAGCGGCGTGCGGTCCATGGAAGCGGGGGAACTTTTTAAAGATAAAAAAAAATAAAATAGTTAAATGTTAATAATACTGTTATTTTATAACAAAAAAATTATTAAAATTATTTATTTGAAACCTTACATAAACGTATCTAGTAAATTTAATTAGCCTTTTACTGCATGGATGCGCGCCTGGGAATCGCCGCCGATCGCCTATCCCTCCTTTATGTAGGTGTTATTGACCTCGAACGCAAACGACAAATTTAAGCCGGAAAATCGCGCACAGTTGCTAGCCACGGCAGCGATCTTTCGGCCGCCTTCCTCGACTTTTATAGATAATATTATTTTATGCGATTTTATAGGTAATATTATAATAAATCCAACATTTTATGATGATGTTATAGACAAATTTGCAATGGCTGATAGACGAATAGACCTCAAATACAAATAGGTACCTATCGCGCGTCAAGTGCTTTGGAAAATTAATTTAAAATATCGTATTTTAACTATTATAACTTTATGTGTTTTGTTTGCTTAACAATTTTCGATAAAATTTTAATCGAACAATGGAATTGGCGTCGGAGTTTTCAAAGGTAAGTTTTTTAAGAAAATGTAAAAGTAATGTCTCGAAATAGGGTATTTTACCGATTCGCTTCCCCGCCTATAATTGTCACCGCACGCCGCTGCAACATAGGTCCGATTCTGCTTTGTTTCGTAGCTACAGGGTGTAAAAGTTTTTCTTTAGTTTGTTAAGATAATTACAAAAAACCTAAACCATTTATAGTAATTTTTACCCTCAAAACTTCATTCGAATCACTAAAAGTACTTGGAAGAAAATTATAAAATCGAAAAAAGACCCTTTAACACCCTGTAGCTACGAAACAAAGTAGAATCGGACCTATGTTGATATAAAAAATAAATCTTATTTTAACGTGAGGAACCTCCCCACGAGAGATGGCACTTGTTTTTTGAAACACCCTGTAAAAAGTAAGGTAAATGCAATGTACAATCTGTAATTTTTTATAGTTTTATAATAAAGTTTTTCTAATTCTGCTTCTTAGATATCAAATGTGGTTATGTCAGGCTTTCCTGTATCTATATTATCTCAAATTTTAAAACAAATAAAATGAATCTTGATTATTTGTTTCGAAAAATTCCAATATTCGGACTATTCCTTCCCCTTATATCTTACAAATTGACGATTTTATCTCACTTTAATAACTGCTGTGTTTTTTTCCAAACAAGCATCATAATTCTTATTCAGCATCGTTTTTTGTTCTATGAAGTTTTTCAGGATTTGAATAAGCTAATTGTGAAAAATCTCTAACTACATAATTAAACATATCATCTCCGGATACTCCTGACTCGGAATCTTTCATTTCTTCATTTAGACGGCCAAGTCTTAACCTAAAAATTTATCATTATATAAACAGTTTTGTAAGTTATACAAGGTTGTCCACATACGACACGGAGTATTGTAGCTAAACGACTAGATTTTTACAAATGGTAAGTTTTAGGTTCGTTGAACGACTATTAGAGCTACAATTTAAAAATATTTTTACAAGATACAGAGTGTCCCAAATAAGTAAAAAATATTATATTTGTATTTTTTTAAATGGAACACCCTGTATATTATTCTATTTTTAGAGTCTACGATTGAAATAAAGGTAAATTTGATTAAGGTTTATCACACTTAAACCTTACCGTTTTTGAAATATTTTCAATTTTATGAAATTGCAGTAAAAATTTTAAGGCTTCATTTCTCCAAGGGTATCAAAGTTTTTAATACTAAATATTTACCGAAGATTATTTATTGATCAGATATTGTGTTGCAACAAAAAAAAATTACTACCTTATACAGAGTATCCACAAATTTATATTAAATAATTACTAGCTTTAAACGGCAATAACTTGTTTAATTTAAATGGAACACCCTGTATATTTTACCTGAATCAGATGAGACAATTTAATTGTCTATCAAATCGTATTATACCATTTTTAACCACCTCTTCAAGTTTTCGTAGAAAATGCATTTTCTTATAATTTAGACCTCATTTATCACTATACTCATGGAATATTGACATTTTAGGTTTTTAAAGCAATATATAGGTATGTACAAAATGTACAGGTCGTATATGTATACGAATTTATTTATATGTATAAACATAATAATATTGCAAGCTCATTTGTTTACAAAAAGAAAACTATTTTAATCTTTTTATAAGAGTATACTAACTAAATATACCACCGTTATTTCCGACCAAAAATTAGTTAATTACATACTTAATTGTTTTAATCATTAAATCTAAAATGAATATCAAAAAAAAAATATCTAAATAAATGTGGATTTGACTCAATATAATAATAAATTATGAAAATGAACGTCTCTGTTGTTATAAATAAGCACTCGTTAAAAAATTAAATAAAGTTTATAAGGTGTTACTTTTTACCATACTGTCTAATACACATACAAAATTCAGTTTTTTAGTATTTGGAGCAATTATTATTAATCAACGTAAACAGTTAATTAATTTAGTTTGAATACCGGGATCATATAATATTTAAACAGTTTTTTTTATTTTTTTTATGTAATAAGCGAACTATATCGACAATATTAGCTTCGGTACTCTTTGAAAATTTGTTACATCTTTAAAAACAATCTAAAATGCCAATATTCCATGGGTATAGTGATAAATGAGGTTTAAATTATAAGGAAATACATTTTATACGAAAACTTGAGAGATGGGTAAAAAATGGTATAATACAATTTGATAGACGATTAAATTGTACATCTGATTCACGTAAAATAAACAGGGTGTTCCATGTAAATTAAACAATGTATTGTCGTTTAAAGCTAGTAATTATTTAATATAAATTTTTGGACACTCTGTATCAGGTAGTAATTTTTTTTTATTATTGCAACACAATATCTTAAAATCAATAAATAATCTTCGGTAAATATTTAGTATTAAAAACTTTAATACCCTTGGAGAAATGAAGCCTTAAATTTTTTACTGCAATTTCATAAAATTGAAAATATTTCAAAAACGGTAAGGTTTAAGTGTGATAAATCTTAATCAAATTTACCGTTATTTCAATTGCAGAATCTAAAAATAGAATAGCATACAGGGTGTTTCATTTAAAAAAATACAACTATAATATTTTTTACTTATTTGGGACACTCTGTATCTTGGAAAAATATTTTTAAATTGTAGCTCTAATAGTCATTCAACGAACTCAAAACTTACAATTTGTAAAAATTTAATCGTTCGGCTACAATACTCCGCGGCGTATGTGGTGAACAACGACAACTGTATAAGATGTACCAAAAAAACTACTTTGCAACGAATGGGAAAAATATAATTGTATTATTAATAATAATAAATATGAATAAGAAACATATCATTATAACATAGTATAAATATCATGACAAAAAATAATATATTTAGACATGCACAAAAGTAGGGTTAGATAATTAAGTACCAAAAAATATCTAAACAAGATTGATAAACATTTACTTCTATGAAAATTATTACAAATTTTCAAAAATCTAACAAACAGTTTTTTGTCATAATTTAAAAAAATTATACTATCTAAAGAAAATCATAAAACAAAGTAAATCTAACAAAAACAATTCCTTAATAATTATTGTTCTTGCTACTTTCCCATAATATTAGGATGGATTGGTGTATTCAGTTGTTTTTGGTCACTTCCTGTTTCACCGGAAATGACTACAACTTTTGATTTTTAAATGGCACCCCCGGTATTTTTTTACTTTATTCGATAGAAAATGACATTCTAAATAGAACGATGTATCATATGTCAACTTTTGACATTCTCGCTTAATAAAAGATTGGATTTTAAAATTCAATCTAGAATGCCATGGCTATGTTAAACACATTAATTCTTCATCAAGGAGCCTTGAAAAAATAGATTTCAGCGTCTAATGTTTTTAGTCTCTTGTCCTGGCCAGTTAGAAAATGCTCAAATCGTATTTTTAATCATATCTCAATTTTTTCAAATGGACCGAGGGTGGCTCATTAGCGTATTTGGAAAAAGCATTTTTTTTTGCGAATAATTTGATAGCACACACTTGGTATTTCGAGTCAAATTTTTGTTACGAACCGCATGTTATAATTTCAAATAAACCATATGCAAAAATGTCAAAAGTTGACATATGATATGTCATTCTATGCAGAGTAACATGTTCTGTCGAATAAAGTAAAAAAAATACCGTGGGTGTCATTTAAAAAATCAAAAGTTGTAGTCATTTCCGGTGAAACCTGTATGAGAGAACAATTGAATACGTGAATCAATCCTAATTTATGTCATAAACTAACATACTAAATCTCGTTTTTTTTACTAAAAAAAAAATAAAATATATTTATTATATTAGGGGTGTAGGAATTATATTAGGGGTTATAAGGGTGAGCCGCTTTTGAGATGCACCCGGTATACAACCAATCATCCATTTTTAGAAACTAACGTTCAATCCCCACACAACAGTAGTTTGTCTGTGGTCAGGTAATCGCGCCGCTGCAAAAAAATGTCAGTTGAATTCGCTACTTCTTGCGATAATTTTGTGGATGGTATCAAAGTTTACAGAATAAATACTATACAGGACGAGTCTTAAATAAGTGCAAATACTTTCAGGGCTGGCAGATCTCGATAAAAGAAATGTATTTTCTCTTTTCCATTTTTCAAATAAGTCCAAAATAACCGAGTTATTTTGCTTTGAAAACTTCCAAAAAAATGATTTTCTGATAAAATTTTGAGAACCACTGGATCTTTTCTGGGTTTTCTTTCTTTAATCTACTACCTAGAAATTATGTTTTGTAACTAAAAACTAAAAAAATCAAATTTTCAATTATTTTTTCGCGAAAAAACAAATCGTATTTCTGGGGTCGAAATACACTACCCTTAAAAATATTTGCACTTAATCAAAAATCACCATGTATATTCTGTAAACTTTACTGGTATCTATAAGGTATTGTGACAGTCGTCGAAACCAACTGTAGTGAGTCGGCCGTATGAATACCACAGTGCAATTCCATTCACATTCGCTAGTCTTCACAGGCAACGACATTTTTATAGTTCAAAAGTCGTTATCTATATAAGGTACATCTAAGCCTAGCCTTAGTCATTGTAAAGTGGAAAGTGTGAGCCTAGCCTCTAGATTTTCTTAACATTTTTGTTCATTTATCCCAGAACAAAAATGTGTTAGTTCAATGAGGTACATCATGAAAATTGACAAATACACCACAGGATGGGAAAATCAATTGTAGATAGTCCCTCTCTTCGATACTATTCAGTACACTGTTATAACCTAACCCTATTACACATTAGAGAATTTTTTAAATTATTAATTTTAAAATGTTATTAGACATGCTAATGATTTCGATGATCTAATAATAAAATCCATTCAATTTGTTGCAAACATTTTTTGGTAGTCACTATATACCTAAGTTCTTAATGAGATGAATTTTGAAACTTGGTTTTGAAAGGAGGAATACAATGGACATACGAAAGTTATTTGATTTCCAAATGTAAAATATTTGTTATTGTTATTTGATATTAATAAAACTAAACCATTCGTTCAGATCTAGAAATTAGTCGAATAAATTAGTGATTTCAATTAGTGTAGAAGTTTGTTACTCTAATTTCAGAGTAAGCCTTCAGAACGTCAAAATTAGTGGTAGTAATTTTCAATTAGTAGAAAAAGTTAACAAACTTTTAACTTTTGCCACTAATTATTCTAGAAAATCAGCGACTAATGTCATTTTGGCCTTTGATTATCATCCGTCAAGAGAAATTGTCGTTAGAAAAGAAAAGTTTATTGTTTTATAATATAATTATTAGGTTTTCTCTATGGATACAACTGACTACCGCAAGCTGGTCTAGGACAGCGTTTCTTAACCTTTTTCAGTTCCCGGACCCCTAAAAAATCAAGCACAATTTCAAGGACCCCCTAATTAAAAAAAAACAGAAATTTTAGGACAAATTATTTTAGTACAAAAAAATTACATTTTTTTAAAAATTAAAAATACTGTATTAATGTGAAGGTTGGTTCTACTTTCTTGCAACTAAATTATACTCTGTTTTTTTTTTGTTGACGATGACAGAAGAAAAGCAGATGACGTCCCATACCAATCTATTTAATTTACTAAAAAAAGTTTCTAATATTTTTTAAGTTAACTATGGATGGGTTTAAATATAAATCCGTCATGCGTCGTCTCTTGTTGTTTTTAACCAGTTTTATTGGTATATTTCAAAAATGACAGATCATATTTCAATTCTATTGGTTTGATTGAACAATGAACGACAAACGGACGCCTATGCGTCTGAACTCGCCTTTAGATTTTTGAGGTTTGTCAATGTCTTGCTAAATTATAGGTTATAATTTTGTGTCAACTTATGTCAAATATCTCCGTTTTGAAAGATGATGCATTTTCATTCGTGTTATTACTTGTGTTTTGTGTCTTTTGAAGTCAAGTGGAGGAAAAATCGAGGAAAAATTAAATGTAGACCCAGAGCACAGTTTATAGTTAATACTCGCTCACCAGGCAGAAAGTCTTATACACCAATAAAGTTACCATCAATAAAGTTTGTATACCATCTCGTCGTAGATAAGTGCATCTCGTATATGCTACAAGGATCGTACTATATCGTACTGGAGTAACTGTAAAATATCCACATCACACGATAGGTAAATAATGGATTTTAGTACTGCAGAAAAATAATGTCAAAAGGTACTGGTGAAAAAAAAATAAGATTAAAGTTTATAAATTAATCAACCTTTGAGGTATAAAATTTGGTGTTATCTATACTATATAAAATCCTTAAGTGACTGACATACTGATTAATCACGGTCCTGCTCAAACTACTCAACGTAAGAAGCTCAATTTTGGCATACAGGTTGATTCTAGGGTGTAGAGGTTCGATAAGAAGGGATTTTTCGAAATTCCAGTTCCAAGAGGGTGAAACCACCCCTCAAATATTACAATATTTTTTATTTAAAAAACGGTCAAGTTTCCGAAAAAACGCTTAAACACGTATATTTCATTTTGTTTTTTTACATATTTTAAGATTTTTTAAAAACGTATACAGGGTGTTTCGAAAAATCTGGTCACTGATTAATCACGATCCTGCTTAAAGCGATTGGCGTAAAAAGCTGATTTTTGGAATACAGATTGACTTTAGGGTGTAGAGGTTCGATAAGAAGGGATTTTTCGAAACTCGAATTCTAAGGGGGTGAAACTATCCCTCAAATATTAAAATATTTTTTATTTAAAAACCGGTGAGTTTTTCGGAAAAACTCTTAAACGCGTATATTTTATTTTGTTGTTTTACATATTTTAAGATTTTTTATAAATTTATACAGGGTGTTTCATAAAATATGCCCATTGAGTAATCACGATTCTGCTTAAACTGCTTGACGTTTAAAGCTGATTTTTGGCAAACGGATTGACTCTATGGGGTGTAGAGGTTCAATAAGGAGGGGTTTCTCGAATATAAAATTCCAAGAGGGTGAAAACGCCCCTCAAATATTACAATATTTGTTATTTAAAAAACGGTTAGTTTTTCGGGAAAACGCTTAGACAAGCATAATTTATTTCTTTTTTTTACATATTTTGAAATTTTTAAAAAAATCATACAGGGTGTTCCAAAAAGTTGAGTAGTTGATTAACCACGATTCTGCTTAAACTGCTTGACGTAAAAAGCTTATATTTGGCAAACGGATTTTTCGAAAGTCAAATTCCAACGAGATGAAACTACCCCTCAAATATTACCAAGTTATATAATAATATCGCCATATTGTTTTTTCTCATGCTGACATAAATGTGAGAAAATTTTATCCAGTTTGTATGTTAATGGAAATTCTTGCTTTGCTTTACCATCACCATTACAAATGAATAATTCGACGCGAACGAAGTCGCTGGTACACGCTAGTTATTAATAAAATAGTTTGTTTTATTTATGTTTTATTGATTCCTGTGAAATATTACACATTTGTATTTGTAGATATTTGTATTTGTATTTGTAGATAATCATTTATCAGTCAAATTTTAAATATATTAATTTCCTGCTATGCGTTCCAGTTGTACCAACTTATTTCCTTGTAAAATAAAATAAACTACTTTGAAATTAAAATGACAGCCACATCCATCACTGTCAATGATCTTGTCGTTGGATAGACTATAGTAATATTCAGGTTAATGTTTTTATTTAGTTGTAATGTCAAATCGGATTCCAATCTGTTTCTGTATTTGTTTTTGATGTATACAAGAGTAGAGAACCCTTATCACAGGGGTATGTGGATGACAAAAGCAGTAAATGTTTCAGTGCTTCTTCTGGTATTTATAAACTTTTTTAAATTCACCCAAAAATTTGATAAAGAAGTTTCTTTGAAATTATGTTTTAAAGCTGAATTACATGATATTTCTATTAGGTAATTGATTTTCCTGTACAGCTGTCAAGCCGTTGATATCTAAAACATCTGCGTTGAAAGGGTCTGCTATCCAGTTTTTATTTCTGTCGGGTTCTGAAAAATATTCCCGAAAAGATTAACTCAAACCGGTGTTTGATCATTTCGTCTTCTACTTGCGTTGGCAATATTTCCGCACTAGATGATTCCAAAAACGCTATCAGTGTAGGAAAATTATCCATATATCCAAATAATCCAAAGGTCAAGTTTTTTATATAATAGTTTCTATTTTATCTTCAACTTGGAAGAAGTTATCTCTTCCTTGTAGAGTTAAGTTCAACTCGTTTAGGGCACTGAATATATCAGCCAAATATGCCACCATTGTTAGCCATTCAAAGTTATTGAAATGATCAGCATGTTTATTGGCGCTGCCTACAGCTACAGAATTCTTAAAAAAAAAAACATTCTGATCCCAGCTCAAAAACACGCGACATAAATAAGAGACGTGTTCGTAGATAAGACGGCGGATCTCCATACATATACCGGCGGACCCCCAGGGGTCCGCAGACCACAGGTTAAGAAACGTTGTGCTAGAATATTCTATTATTTTAATTGTATTTATTTAGATATTGTAAATAATTTAATTGTGTTATTTATTTAGATATTGTAAATAATCGTAAATTCTTAAGTAAAAAGTATGATTAAAACTACTAATATATTCATCTAATTTCGAGGTCCTGAATAAAGCTTAATACTCACAAAGTAACAATATCAGCGTGCTCTTTTTGTTCGGCTATAGAGAGCGGCACTTTTCCTTCTTCATCTTCAATGTGCTGATCCGCTTTATACTTTAAAAATATACATACTTGAGCGGTGTGTCCTTCCTGTGTTGCTAAAAGCAACGGCGTTTTGCCATTTTGATCTTGCGCATTTATTTTTGCACCGTTTAGTAAAAGGTAGGAACAAGGCATTACAGAACCCTACAACCGACAAAAGTAAAAAATTAAAAATAGTCAGGAACGATAACAAAAAACAAGTTTGTATAAATAATATAAAGGGTGTTTCAAAAAACATGTGCCATCCCTCGTGGGGAGACTCCTCACATAGGTCCAATTCTGCTTTGTTTCGTAGCTACAGGATGTTAAAGTCTTAATATTTTTCCGAATTATTATAATTTTCATTCAAGACGTACATATGGGTTATCATTGGAATATTTTTCTAAAAAAAGCATGTACGCCACTGACTTTTTTTCTCTTGTTAGCGAAATAGTGTAAGCAGTTTAATGCCGATTAAAAGTTGTCTCTTGATATTTTGCCGATTTCGGCCTCCTTGATGAGATAAACGCAATTTTACTAATTTGACTTGATATCAAGTCTAGAAACCTTTAAAAAAAATTAATATCATTAACTTGAGAAAGTTTTAAATAAGTACTCATTGATTCCTTATCAAAAAATATGAAAAAAAGTTCCTATAAACATGGGTATGGAAATGCATAGTTTTAAAGTTACAAGATGTTAAAACTTTTTAAAATTAGGATTTTTGTAACTATCTTAAATACCATTATTTTTTTATTTAAAATTGCTGTAGGTTGGACTAATAGTAATAATAACTAATAGTAATAATATTTAATAGTAAATTAAGTAAAACATATAATTTATTAATTTTATTTTTAATTTAATTTTATTAATTGTGATTAATAAAATTGCGTTTATCTCATCAAGGAGGCCAAATTCAACAAAATATCAAGAAATAACTTTTAATTGGCATTAAACAGTCTACACAATTTTGATATGAAAAGAAAAAAGTCAGTGGCGTACATGTTTTTTTTTGAAAAATAATCCAGTGAAAACCCATATGCACGTCCCTGATGAGTTTATCGATACTTTTTTAGTATTAAAATATGTAGCACTTATAGTAACTTTTACCCTCAAAATTTCATTTGAATCACTAAAAGTACTTAGACGAAAATTATAATAAATCGCAAGATTACTAAGACTTTAACACCTTGTAGTTATGAAGCAGCATTTTTACGTGAGAAATCTCCCCACGAGACACAAATTTTAATTAGTAGTGTAGCAAACAAATAAACTTTATAATAATACCAACTAAAACAATAAGTGTTAGTTATGAAAATTCGTTTTCTTGAAAAAAAAACTAACAAGATAATTTTTTCTAAATAAACGTTAATACCAGTCACATTTTACATAAAAAGCTACTACTTGAGAACACTAGAAAATATATATTTCCAAATAGTCCTGAAATAATGGACTAAGAATGTCTATTATAATTTGCAAATTATTCTAATTTAATGTCAACGATAATCAATGACACCAACCCAATACTACAAGAACTTTCAGAATTTCCGATTTTGCGTGTATTGTCAGAAAATAATAACAGGCAGGACTCAAATATAGTTATTCAAAATAAATTTTAAAGAGTCAAAGTTTACTAAACTTAGGACTAAAATATGTGAATCTAATACCGTTTGATCGAAAAAAACGGCGTCAAAGACGGCAATTTTGGCGCAGTCAATCTCTAGAGGTCATTTATTATAAGTTGACATAAAACTTGTCAAAAAATAGGACTAATTATAGAAAGATTATAATTCCGTTCTGTCAGTCGTCCGTCGTGATAGCATCGTGTAAAGAAATATTGAGAAATTTTAGTAATCAGTTAGGGTTTTCAGAATAGTAGTGAAAGTGTTTATTGTGTTTATAAGAATAGGGTCCTTGCACGTATCAGGTATAATTTAAATATTTATGATTTCTAATACATTTTTACCTAAAACATATATATGTAAAATCAGTTTGTACAAATTCCATCTGGAAAGTATTTAAATTAATGATTGAAATTCATTGAAATTCGCTTGGCGCGAAAACGAGGCGTGATGTCAAAAATGTTAAAATTTTCGGCTCACAGCGAACGCATTCCATTAATTTAATAAGCCCTTCCCAATGACATTTGACATCTAAATAATTTCTAATTTATTTCACAAAACATCCCCTTTAGAACTTCTAGAACTTGTCATGTTAAGAAATTAAAGTAAATAATAAAGCGCCTCTCGTGTTTGTTCGTACTCTAAAAATTTCAATTAATGCCTGTATATATTTTTAATATATATTTTAAATTTAAATTTTTTTAATTGTAAAGTAATATATTACATTTAAATGGAATATATTACACTACAATTATGTCAATTACAGGATTATAGGCTTGTTTTCATGTTTTCTAACATTTTTTAAATAAAACGAATTGTTAAATTTCAATATATACATGTATATTTGTCGTAGGTATGAAAAAAGTAAAATATAAAATGGACAAACGCTTACTTACATTGCAATAAAACTTCCACTTTTAGTTTTGCAATCCAAACGCAATATTTCTATTTTACAAATAAAAATATCCGACAACACTAAAATCACTGAAACTTCCGCGGCTGACAACGAAAACTGAAAAATATAATATATACACTTTATACACACGACAGCACTTTATTACACTACAATTATATCAATTACAGGATTATAGGCTTGTTTTCATGTTTTCTAACATTTTTTAAATAAAACGAATTGTTAAATTTCAATATATATGTATATTTGTCGTAGGTATGAAAAAAGTAAAATATAAAATGGACAAACGCTTACTTACATTGCAATAAAACTTCCACTTTTAGTTTTGCAATCCAAACGCAATATTTCTATTTCACAAATAAAAATATCCGACAACACTAAAATCACTGAAACTTCCGCGGCTGACAACGAAAACTGAAAAATATAATATATACACTTTTTGTTTTGAACCTGCATATCAACATTACGCTGTACCATTATGAAAATATCTAATTATAACTTGTAAATTTTAATATTTTAACATGATTTTAACTATTTCTGACAATAACTAACTTTTTGTTATCAAGATGACATTTTAGACGGCAACTGATATATATGTCAGAATATTTGAATTTTAGTATGTAATATAATTTAAATTAATATAATGCAACTTTATACTAAGAAAACATTTATACATTCACAAAATACAACAAAGTCTAATAATATAGTTTGAAAACAATGAATATTGAGATAAAATTAAAAAAGTTAAGCGCGACCCCTTGTGTCAAAATTAGATGATTAAATTTTGTGATGACGCCTCTAGTGTTTGTTCGGGTGTTGGTCTTTTACTCCCACTTATGGCCATTAAAGAAAAAGTTCTAAAGGGGGATGTTTTGTGATTTATTTAGATATTTTTCAAATTTATTTAGATATCAATGGGTGTTTCAGTTTGTTAGAATTATGGCAGAACCGGATTATAATAAAGCACAGACAATCTACAGAAAGTAGATTCGACGATGATCGCCTATTATTTTTCGCAGAATGTTTTGTTTACTTCTGCCAAAATTTGAGGAGCAAAAGTAAATAGGTAGGTACACGATTTATGTTTACAACTTGTCAAGAAGTCTATGTGAATAAAAATAGTCCTAATATATGTGTTTTGATTGATTTTATAAAGTTATACATCGTCACTGAACAAGCATTTTTAATCATAAAATTGGACTGGTGTTCGGCGCCGGTGCCGGCGCCGGCGGTTTCTACTGTTTCGTCCATTTCATGTTCATTGTTTTTTTAAACTAACAAAATAGATTCGTGTAAAATTCTTTTAAACTCTAACAGATTATTACGTATGAAAACGTCAAATCAAAAAGGTTTATATAAAAACCCCTCATATTTTCTATTAAATAATCATTTCCTGAATGTTTTTGCCCTTATTCATTTATGCCATGAATATTTTTAACGTTAACAGTAAGTATATGTATATATTTAAAGAAAACTATTGGTTAAGTAAATAATTAGCATTTAATTATCTCAATCCATACCTTTAAATACAATATTACTTGTTAATATTTTATCTAGAAATTTCACATTCACTATTCTATCTACCTATACGTATTTCTCTTCCATAATCCGTAATAAAATACCATTAATATTATATCAATACCATCGTTAAAACTTTTTTTACCTATTTTAACTGTTATTTGCCTTCTTTATGGGTTATTTTTATCGAATTTCATCAACTTTTATTTAGATCTCGACGATTTACAAATTGCAGATTGATGAGAGTGACATTCGTTTGACGCACGAGCATGTATACCACAGAATATACTTGATGGATGCGTCAGATAGAGAAGAGCAGTATTGTCAGATATTTTCGAGCGAATTTCTTCAACGGAGCGTTAAAAACTTTCCATATTCCTTCACAAAAAAAATCCAAATCTTATAAAAAATCACCAAATTTCGTGTATTTTACTTATTTTATAATAAGGAGAACATTTTTAAAAACTTGTTTCTGGTAATTTTGGTACACTGATGTATTTATATAATTTTTTTATTAAAAAATAATATGATCAAAAATGCTGTGATAGATACTCGACAGCAGTATTATAAAGTATGTCTCAAAAAATTAATTTCTTACAATGACTGTTTCAATCTAAAATAATTAATCAAGACGCCATGATCAGCTGACTTAATAGATATTTATGTTTTCCGTTTACCTATTTATTTCTTTTCAACGTCAAGAACTTTGGTTTAGTTATGGTATGTGTATTATTTTTTTGTTCAATGTTAAAATCTTTCGAACTGTAGACTTTTTGAATTGCTTTTAACTTCATCCTTAATTAAAAACCGTTAAAGTGAAAAAATAGATGTAGGATATAACAATAAATACTCCTACTACATATTTTAACAATTTTTATTGTGCAAAGCTGTCAGAAACCTTCATATTGTCTTCTTTTTTGGATAAACATCCTTCAAAAATGGCTCTTTAATCGACGAAATTTGACTGTATTGTTCATATTGAAGGAAATCCTACAATTCTGGCAACACTGGTTCTGTCATAATCCTAAACAAGGTGCAACGCTTTATTTAAATGGAATGCGTCCGTTGTGAGTCGATAATTTTAAGATTTTTTGACGTTACGCCTCGTTTTC